TTTTTTTTTAAAAAAATGTTTTTTTTAATGTTCTTTTTTTTTTTTATATATATATATAATGTAATTTTTGTTTAAAAATGAATTATCACAAGTTTTTTTTTTTTTTCTGTTCTTGGGCATCTTGTCGCGGGGCACCTAAACGACCTGGAGCCTCTAGGCACGTGCCTTATTTGCCTTTAGGGTTAATCTGGCACTGATCCCTATGTCGTTGCGTTAAAAATACGCCGAAGCATTATTTTTCACAAACTCGGACGGTCTCCTTTAATTATTGTATAATGGTTATCAGTTTCGTTTTTTTTTTTAGGTTTACAACTGACGTAGACGGAGCCACTTCGTTTAAAATTTATTTCCTTTTCCGGAATTTTAACAAGATGGATTCCTCCATAACCACTTTTGACCTTATCAATGATGGATGAATACCGGTTATATAATTGCTTGCATTCACAGAAATAAACGTTGAAAAACGAGGCTTGGTAGCTTTAGAAATACCAAAAGTATTAAATTATGATAAACAAGTCGCTAAAGAATTTACATGTTAAAAATATTTTAGGTGAGGGTTCAGTCCAGTGGCAGTGGAGTGTGGTGGGTGGGAAGTGTGACTACAAAAACTAACTTTTAAGTTTTTTACTAACACTCTTATTCTTTTATATTGATTTAATAATCAATTGGACCTTCAAAATAAATGCTCATAGATCTAATACTAATTTTGTCTTTTTATTACTCAACAATTACACTCGATAGTCAATACAAGGACATCAAAAATTAATTTTGTGTCTGTGTGTCAGTGTTGTGGGAAGGAAAAGTAAAAATTTAATAAAATTGAACTATCAATATACTATCAAGTCAGAGATTAAATAACATCCATGCGATTATGATTAAGCATTTACAATTTCTTTACCATATCTCTTAAGTCTTGGGGAGAGTGCTTCTATTTAAGTTATGAGATTTTCCTAGGCCAGTGCCCGTCAAAAGAGCCAAAATTCAGCAGCAGGATGATTGAATTTTTTTGTTGAGAGCCAATTTATTTTCAAATCCTGTCAAGAACCATATTTTTCGAAGTCAAAACCGATTTGTGGTTGACTTGCAGGTCACTAAAGCTGGGTGGTTTTGCCGACCACTGGCATAGGCCTATCTAGTTTTTCCATCTTCTATAATAACTGTATTCTTAGCGATCAGAGGTTTGGGGCCATTTATAACTGATGTCACATATTTTGACAGATGACCACCCCATCTCAAATTTCACAAAAGTTAAACACCCTGTCAAAAGATGCAAATTTGTGACCCTCCACCCTCAGTGTTTGATGTCTAGGGCTCCCATGCCCACACCAGTTTGGAAAATCCGGAATAGTCAGAAGTTCCTTAGCTTATTTTCCCACTCGTAAAAGCCAGGAAATCAAGCCTTCTACTCTAGTAAGGAAATTTTGTCGCTAGCAGGGAAATTTTCAAATTTGAAAAGGAAAATATAGGCCTAATAACAAATTTGGATTACTTTAAAAGGGATATTAATTGCCGATGCCTATTTTTACCCCACTGATTTTACCAAAGCGCTAGTGGTTTCCCCTTACATTCCCATGCGTTTTGAAAGTTTTGGATATGAAATTTGGTACTGTAATGAGAAATAAAATTTTGTACCGTACTGCTTTGATGATGTGATTTTTTTTCTATTTAGTTCGATCAACAGATTTTTTGGGTAGGCCTACATAAAGTGTAAAATATACTCAATTATTATTTAAATGTAGTATAGTGTTCAATCACTGTCTAAGATGACTAAGCTGTCTAAGCTTAGCCTACTTTGTTTAGTCAAGTTGATTTTTAAGGTTTACAGCAGACCTACTTTAAAAATACTATGCCTTATTCCTATTAGCAATAATAATCGTACCGAGTAATAATAGAAGCTTTTGGTATTAGTATTAGTTCTACCCCATGACCAAAGAAAAGGAATTTGATTTTTAGCTTAAAAAAAAATTGTAGGCATTTTTCTATAACATATAATTTTAAACAGAGCTAAGTCTTTAAGTTAACTCTAAGTATACATTACTAAATAGGTTTAATAAGATGAAGGTACATTAAGTTATTTTGTGATAGGGACCAACCGGGTAGACATTTTTACCTGGTACCAAATCAAAGTTTTTGGGACTACTATTTGCAGAATCCGAGTACTATTTATTCAATATAATCATTAGCAGACCTGTTTTCCCCTGGGTTAGTGCCAGAGTAACTGTGAAGACCAAAAAAGTTGTGGCTTGGTTGTCCACCTCCAACCCTGAAGAAAATCATGGCTATGCCACTGCAAATGTCTGTCTTAGTATTTCTTCTGTATGAGTTTGGTACTGGTAAGATATAGTCTTTACCATGTATGCCCTACTATAAGCCTAATATGATAATATATTATATTTTGTTTCGTTATGCAGGGTCTAGGGTAAGTAAAATAATTCCCAAAAGTTCCTTTAAAGACTGATGTTTAAGGTCAGCAATCATGATTGCCATCATTGCTGCACTATACTGGATTTATTGATATCAACTTGATATCCTGAAGTTTAATCCTGAAGTGTCAAAGTGTCCCCTTTTTATAGCCATTTTCATTGTTTCTATAGAATAGTAGTTACTATCCTAGTGTCTCATTTGTATTTACTTAGTTTACATGTTTTAATAATTGTAAAGCGCTTAGAGCTTTATGATAAGCGCTATATAAAAATGCCTAAATAAATAAATAAATAAATATCAAGTATATTTGCATGACACATAATCTGCATGACACATGCAATCTGGAGAGCAGTTTAATCAACGTCTTTCATCTGATCAGACTTCATCTTGTTCAAACAGCTTTATCACCTCACGTTACGAGTCCACTTCTGCAATTGCTCTCGCAGGATCTCAATTTATATATCCACTTGTGAAACCCTGATATCAGAGATTTTATAGACAATAAAATGTGTTTAATAAAAAGTATCCATTTTCATTGCAGAAAAAAACATTTACTCCATGTATGAAAAGCTGGTGTAATTTTTGCTAGCTTTACATATGTTCTAAAATGCCCCGGAAAACAACTTGCAAAAGTTTTCCCAGCACTATAAAAGTAAAATTTGCAAGACTAAGTAAAATGAAAAATTGCAGTTGCTAATCATTGCTAGAAAATTTAATACATATTTACATGTATACATCTTTATTGCGTCATATTGTTTTTACTTCTAAAATTTCATGCTTTTTTTAGATTATCAATAAAACCGTCATGTTGCGATAGTCAGGATTTTTTGTTTTTTTTGGGAAAAAATAAGGAATTTTGTTTTTAAAAATATAAGGGGATCCTAGATGTCATTTATGGATGATCATTTTTCATCATCCTTTCTCAATGGGAGGCACCTCAAACAAAAATAATTTATCCTTGTTACTGCATTGTGTAATTATTTATTATTTGCCTTATGTCTCTTTTTATCAAGCTTTACCATGGCAAGCTTAAGAGTGGGGATCAGTTTTGGTCACTCCAGGTGGCCAAGAGCTTCTACTTTAATGACAGTTGCCAGGAACCAACTGTATACCTCTAAGCAAAGTTCAGTGTTGCCAAACAGCTACACAAGACTCCAAATTACTGATAGGTAAACATTAAATATGTTACCACGCACCCCTGCGTCGTCCTGAATGGAATTTTAAAATAAACTGCTGCTATCTCAAATGCTATTAAGCAATATTATCATTAAATTATTTATGTTGTTGCTTTATTTGCAATGTCTCGCACATTATATGTTAAATAAAAAAAGCTTCTAAATTAATTTCATTCATGAAATAAGTTAACAGCTTGATGATACAGGGAGTTGGGGTTAAATTTCGTCATGAATAAGTTAACAGCTTGATGATACAGGGAGTTGGGGTTAAATTTCGTCGTAACATTTTTCAATTATTATAATACTCTTCACGGCAGACACAGTACTTTAACATTAATGTTTTAAAGTTTTTCCGCTCACAGAGTAAATACGGAGCATGCACACAGTCATGTGTCTGCTTGTTTCATGGCAACAAAGAGTATGAGTGAGGTGGTAAGTTCAAAATTTCTAACTTAATCAAAATGATGACATTATATTATATAGATGATTATCATGTTTTGTTTGTTATAAATTACATTTTTCATTAGCTGAAAGGTTTTGTATAGGAATGACAACTCATTAATTTTATATATATGTTTTTTTTAAAAAATGACATGTCGCGTCTACCCTCTACTGTTTGCATATCATTTTGAAAAAATAATATGTATTGCAATTTAATAAGAAGTGGCATTTATATATGCACTCACTTAACTAACCTGGCAAGACATCAATTTAAAAAGTCAGGAAGCAGCAAACCAGAATTTTAGTAGATCTGATCTCAGCGCATTCAGTTGTCCCATTGAACATTGAAGCATTTATATTGCTATTTTTTAAAAATTAATTTGATATTTTTGGAAAAATTCAAATTAAGGAGAGTGCTAAGGTTGTTGAATGTATCTTCGATTTTTGTACAGCACCCAATGAATCAGCTTATACTGACCCACATTACAGAAGACTCATCTTTTAAACTCCACTTATGAATGTGTTAAATGTTTCACAAAAGAGCAGTGGTGCGAGAAATGTCCTGAATAGAGAGGGGGGCTTCAAAAAGTGTTAAGAAATGGGGATGATTAACATGTTCCTAATTGTGTTAAAAGTAAAAGATTGAGGGGCTGGGCTGGGGCTCCCATTTCTCATAAGTGAATACAGTATCCTCTCTGCCTTCAGACTTTCTTTCAATTTGTAAAATTTATTCAAGAGCCATTTTAATTTGAAAATTTTAAGCTTGCTGATTCTTGATATTCATAAATAGTTCTCTTTCTTTTAAATTTAAAGAATCCTTTGTCAAGTAAAGAACATAACAAAGCCGGAGTGGAGTCCAAATCTGTGGATGAAAGCAACAATGGACCTACCAATAACTCGGCTGAAGATCAGGATTTTTCTGAAGTCTTAGCTAGAGTTGAAAAATCATATTCAAAAAGTGTCATAAAAGATTATGAGTTTACGCTAAATAACTTGGAAAAGTTGGTTGCAGATTTAGAGAATAAAGGAAAAGCCGTTGAGCTGAATGAACTCTTTTCCGATGATTTAGAATCTATTGTGAATGTAGTTTTAACACCTTCAGCCCCTCCTTACATGAGGCAGAAATGTGCGGCCCTATTTTTGTCACAAAGCTCTGATCTGCCGCTGACGGAAAAACTGTTGATGCAGACCGTTTCTGATGCGATGACTGTCCCAGTGAACGTTTTGGTTAGCATCATTCAGGCGCTGACGGCATCAGCAGAAACACCTTTGAGGAGGAACGTACGCAAGGAACTTGTGACGGTTGTTGTCAACAAGCGGTGGTATGAGATACCGCCAAAACATATTGTGTTTTTTCTTTATCAGCTTGATGGTCTTTTTGAAATGAAGAGCATAACTCAGGAGCTGCACATGAGTGGGCATGCAAAGAACCAATGTCAGGATGACACAGCTCGCCATGACGCAGGGACAAACAAGGCGATCCCTGATGTTGTCCAGTCTATAAGGAAAAACTCCAGCGATGAAAGTATGCCCATAATGAGTGCAAACCTAGAAGCCAGATTACTTCAAATAATGGACGAGATAAAGGCCAAAGACTTAACAAGGGTTGTTATTTTACTGGCCAAGTGGAGGAATCGCAACCCATCCATTCTTACAGCGGTGGTACACCGCTTGAGTCACGTGGACTTCAGTGACTTTAACTTCATTCAGCTGAGCAATCTTCTGTTTGCATCATCTCTCCTCAGTTTACAAAACAACAAGTTCATCAGTGAGCTCACCCTTCACCTTTCGCAGCTTGTCCCGCCATCACCATCTTTAGCATGTTCTGTGCTGAATTCACTTTCCCACTTGCGGTGGAGGGATCTAGATCTGATCTCTTCGTGCCAGAGGAATTTGATAGGAAACCTGGGCGGCCTGTCACCAAAAGAAGCCACTAATCTGCTCATGTCTTTAGCCAACTTGTCAGTTCTACCATCCAGTCATCAAGAAAGTCAGTTCATCAGAGGTTGGTATTGCACTTAAGTTATCAAAAAATATTTACCTACACATTCATTTAGAGTAGATGAGGCTCTTTAAAAAATTTTTTTTTACTAATCTATAATAAAATGCAGCGCCCAAAATATTCTCTTAGACTCTTAGCAGAAATGTAGGAGTAACTAGGGAATGTTTCATGTGAGGCATTTGTAAACGGAGGGTTATGCATTAAATTCAAATGAAGTTTAACTCAAGATGAATGATTCTTTAAATTCAAAGGAATAAGAAAATTTTTTTTAGTATTTCATGCTCCTGTTAAAAATTCCACATACTTAATACATTTAAATGTTAACTTCCATAAGATGATTGTGATGTACAGTTACAGTATTTAACTTCCATGAGATGATTGTGATGTACATTTACAGTATTTAACTTCCATGAGATGATTGTGATGTACATTTACAGTATTTAACTTCCATAAGATGATTGTGATTTATAGTTACAGTATTTAACTTCCATGAGATGATTTTGATGTATAGTTACAGTATTTAACTTCCATGAAATGATTGTGATGTACAGTTACAGTATTTAATTTCCATAAGATGATTGTGAAATACAGTTACAATATTTAACTTCCATAAGATGATTGTGATGTACAGCTACAGTATTTTTTTACTTGTCTTCATTACTTTATTTTTTATTGAATGCTAATTATTACATAAACCCTAGCTGTCATGACAGTGTAGTGTGTAGACAATCTAGTTGTCCAAACATGCCATTTATTTAGGTTTCATTTGTTAAATTCACAGATGTATGTAGGCAAGCTGAGGGACAGGGCATGACGACCACTGATCGAATTAAGCGCGCTTGGTGTTTAGCTATCTTAAAATCTTTAGATGCTCAACAGGCTGAACTTTTACTAAATCCAGACTTCGTCCAAAATATTTTAGGTAAATACATGGCTTCTTTTAATTCTCTTGAAAAAAAAAGGAGTTTAAGCTAAAGCAAAATTTCGACTTTGGTAAATGGATCAGAAACATCCTAACTAAATATGAAGTAATTTTGCAAAGTAAGAAATTCACAAAATGTTTCGTTCTTTCATTTATAATTTATAATTAAAACCGGGATTGCTTCTAGATTGGTACAGCTGGTATGGTTGTTTTGACAAGCTATTGTGGCTGGTTGATCAGGCCTTGTATGGCTGGTTGATCAGGCCTTCTATGGCTGGTTTGACGGGCTTCGTCTGTGGCCAATAGTGAACTGTTATGGCTACTTTGATTGTAGTTAACGGTTGCGGCTTGTATGGCTGGTTAGCCTGTTTTAACTGGACTGCTGGTTTAACGGGAACCTCACACTGGTCAATCATAAAGCCTAGTATGGTTGATATATTGTGGCTTTTTTGATGAGCCCCCGCTGTGGCGAAATGTCGTCTAGGGGTAGGTCCCCACCGAACGGCCACAGAAAACGATATCGGAGTCTACAACTCCCTTACTTTCTCGCTTCAAATAACTTCACAAGATGGTTTTGATAAAACAAATATTCTTTAATTATTTACAGAATAAACACAAACCAACATTAATGTTGTTCACAATGTATGAATGAAAAACTTCTGTCCATCTTCACAAATGTACCCAGCTCAATAAACATCACCCACTCACTCCCTAAAGAATGTCTTCCTTGTGGCTCGTAAAAAAATATGCGTCATAGTGCATTCATGACTTAGCAAACATGGTGTGATATATGGGGAAGTTACAAACGAAAAACATTATTGTTCACTGAAAACATTATCAACACAGACACAAACATAATCACATGATCCGACCGTGACACCACAGATATTTGAAATGCATCCTTACAAAGTTACCACCCACAGTGTTGTTTGTTAGTTGTATGAGCCACTTAATATAGATTGTTTACTTGTCAATTTTTAAATGACTTTTTATATTCCTTCTAATTACTTATGACAATTGGATTGACTGTATGAAATACGATTTGTTGTTTCCACAGTTTCAGGAGGTGTACACACACAGTTAGACCTCCAGAGATTGTCTGTGATAAACATGGCTGCTAAATTTGAGATCAACAATTTCAAGGGTCAATGTCTTTCCGATGAAATTTTAAATTCCACCAAAGTAAGTTTTTGCTGCCTGAAGAATGTAAGTTTAATGGAAACATTACTTGGTTAACCCTTTAGAGACAGAGTCTTTTTGGACTGCCTGTGCCAAAAAGACATAGGCCTTTTCACAAGCCCTGCACTTGCTTTGCCAAAAAGATTTATACAAAATAAACTAATTACTTAACAAAGTTAAAACTATATATATTCTCGTAGGGAATAAAATAAACTAATGCAATCTTAATGAACCAAACTGAAATCTCAAAATTTATGCAAATGAGATCCTGCTTTGCATAATTTATGCATGCAATTTTTTTTTTAAACACTTAGAATAAAATTGTCTTACTTGCAGAATTTTGTTAAATTGTAAGATTGTTGAAACCTAAATAAGTCCTAACCCATATTTGAATGTAATTCAATGTGCAAAACTGCATAAAATATTCCCCTGTGGCTTCTTATGCCTTTTAGCATATTTTAAAGTCACATATTTTTGGAGGATTTATAGGGGTCACTAGGTAAAAAAAAAAATTGATATAAAATGACAGAACACTGTAATATCAATGGAAGCCACCAATCAAATGGCAAGATGAACAAGAAATGGGAGAAGAAATCTGGTTAGCTGGTATGAAGACCTGCCAACCAATCTCAGGGGTTTTATTATTGGGCAGATAGATCAGCCTTTCCTCTCTTTTGCCATAACTTTGGACTAGTAGATCGGCCCAGCCGTCTTAACAAAGTTTAACAGTTGTTATTAAATTAAGGATTAATATGTTATAAGATTAATTTACGCCTTTCTGTTATTAAATTAAGGATTAATATGTTATAAGATTAATTTACGCCTTTCTGTCAAATCTATTGGAACCCCTTTTTTTAAAAAACTTGGATTTTAATTAAATTATGCAGCTTAATATAATAAATGCAATCTTAAATGAAGCTGATGTCAACAAATCTTTTGTTCTTAGGTCAACCATAAAAAAATCAAAACTTTGTCTCTGAAATATTCTTGAAAAGACAACTACTGTGTACTCGATAAGAAATGGAATAAAACAAATGGGCAATAAATAATAGTAACAAAGCCCATTCCTGACCCAGAGGTACCCGGTTTCCCTTTTGTCTGGGGGGGTTGTCCAAAGCCATTAAAGAAAATAATAACTTACTGTTACAACTTAACCTGTTTACCTTTTTAAATTTTTACCTTCATGTACATACTAATTATAATAAAAAAAAATAAAAAACACTAATAAAAGTCAGTAAATCAAGGGGCACACAACCTGTTAGAGTGGAGTTGTTAGCCAAGCAAGGCAAATCCTCTGAGATGAACCCAGAGGAGACAAAACCTCATCCCCCAAAGTCAGATGACATCAGCCAATGTTCAACTTGGCCTAGGATTGAAAACATCTGCTGTCTATTTTAAAAAAAAAACAACCTAAAAATAGCTTGGCTGCAGCTGATGGAATAATGCCAGAGTGTAAAACAAAATAATCCAAATAGACTTGTCGATCAATTTTTAGAATTTAACATATTTTTAAATGTATGATATTAGGCGGCGAGTCTTTACACTGAAGGGAAATGTGTCTAAAAATATTAAAGGATTTGGTTTGAGAGTCAGTGTTAGACTTGGGATATTTTTGTCAAGAGTCTCTATAATCAAATATGTTTTCATTTTTCAGATAAATTAGTTTTTTGAAAAGAAAATACTTAGTGTGGGTTAATTATCATCTTTGTTCATAGATATATCATGTTTTGTGATCACATCATATTTGGTAATTCAGTTTAAACTTTTCTAAATTTAAAAAAAAAAAGTAGAATTAAAGAATTATACTATAATTTATAGCATTAATATAGTTTATAATAAAATTATACTAAATTTCTTAATTAATTCCGGTATAGGAAATATATCAGGAGCTTCAATGGCTTGACTGTCAACTCTTCCCTTTTATTGTACATGTTTTCTTTGCCAGATAACCACATTGTGTAGTGATGAAACGCTCACAGCGGCTCTTGTAAATGTGCTGAGCAAATTTGCTGATCTCAAAACTTACACACAGTTGGCTGTACTTGAGGGGGGTACTGGAATTGGTGGGTCAACTTGTTTTTTTATGTTTTTTTTTTTTTTTTAGATTGGTTAGGTCAATTATGGGATTTCGGGGGGTCAACTTGAGATTTAGGTCAATTGGTGGTTTTAACTTGGGATTTAGGTCTTTTTGTGGGTTGACAAAACTTACACACAGTTGGCTGTACTTGAGGGGGGTACTGGAATTGGTGGGTCAACTTGTTTTTTTATGTTTTTTTTTTTTTTAGATTGGTTAGGTCAATTATGGGATTTCGGGGGGTCAACTTGAGATTTAGGTCAATTGGTGGTTTTAACTTGGGATTTAGGTCTTTTTGTGGGTTGTTAGTGGGTCAACTTGAGATTTAGGTCTATGGTGGCTAGCACAACTTATGTAGTATGTAATCTTTATGTTTTTTTGTGATAATAAAACTTGTCTTCTTTTTAAATATAACGTTTACAATTGAACTAGTAACTTGAAAAAAATGTCTCTATTAGCTATTCAATGTCGCTGTATGACAGTATGAGTTAAACTGAATTGATGCCAACCCTTATGATACATCAAATGAAATGTTGTTCAAAGATCTTAATAGGGCTACTAAGTCATTTTGCTGAATGATTTCAGCAACGATATTGCCACATTAAACACATCATTTTTATATATTACTTGTACCTTTGGAGACTCATTTATGTGGATGACTTCATACTACTTGTATCATCCTTGTGGTCTTATAGAGTAAAAACTCTCATAGCACTGATTTTTAAAAAAAATAATAGGTATATTCTTAAATTAAAACCAATTGGATGTTTTAATTTTAACATTAAATTACAATTGCTGTATTGCACTATATTTATTTACGAAAGATGCTGTCATGAATGCCACATCCGATGGTGATGTCAGACCACTGACACAAAATAACAAGAAAACCGGAACAGAAAGGGTATTCAGGTAAATTTCAACAATATTTGTTACTAATGGAATGTTTGTACACATTACAACAAATGAATTATTGATAAGTCTGTATTTAATTAGAAGAATTTATTCATTTCTATCGTGAGAATCAGTTCCACAATTTTATTTATTTAAACAATATTTTTTAAATCACGTAAGGAACATCTCTCCTACCAAGGAGTCAAAATGATCTCTCCTTTACTGTTCAGTACCTTCTTTTATTTTCCTCTGGTTATAAAATATTGGTAAAGCTATGTTTTATTAAAAACCATGTTTTAGATCAGCAGTCCTCAACCTGTGGGTCGTGACCCCTTTGGTTGTCAAATGACCCGTTTCCAGGGGTCGCCTAAGATCATCGGAAAATACATATACTCTACAGTTATGAAGTAGCAACAAAAATACGTTTGTCACTTTTGTCACCACAACATGAGGAACTGTATTAAATGGTCACGGTGCTAGGAAGGTTGAGAACCACTGTTTGAGATGATTTGGCTTGAACTCTCCAGCTGAATGAAATTACCAACTAGAGATCCTTGGTGAGAAAATGGACAAACTTGCCACTGTTTTTTTTAAAAATAGGAACAGGATACCTTGCGCATCGGATAGTCAAGTCACCTGTGCGATGTTACGTTTCAGCGTTTACCAAACTTTTTTTTATTCGTGGCCCGATTTTTATTTACTTCCTTCCCCTTCTTGGCAGACTAAAAGTTTGATCGCTTATTCTGACCCTGTAGGTATGGTAACACAAATTTGAAAGCTCATACGGTTGTTATGTTTTCAACAGAAAACATTTACTCTAACACAAATTTTAAAGAAATCAAACAGAGACCTGTTAAATAATTTGTTAATGGTAAGTGTGATGATGCCTTACAGAAAAACATCTAAGTTTGGTCTCAACTCTTCTTGATCTCTGTCCACTTATTAAGGTAAATTTTGTGTTGGTTATAAGCAAATTAAATGTTTTTTAATCCGGCCCTGTAGAAGTCACAATCAACCTACAATGAATCTGATCAAATAACATTTGGCAAAGAGGATGGTGCTGGAGAAGAGCAGCACCCGGTGCGAAGTCTGAAAATGCAGCCCTTCAGATATAGAGGAAAAAAAAGTACAGCCACAAAATGGTCAAGTATAAAAACAATTTGCAGCAAGAGCTCATTTCAACCCAAACACCCCCACACGGCCCAGGTCCTCCGCATGTGCCTGGAGACATGTCGGGTTGACTGATGCGCTTATCTGGTACCTCTTTGCATCGTACCACTCATTTCTTCTCATTCCAAATGATCTTTTCTGCCATGTGGCCACAGACATAAGGAGTGTCTATGATCTTTTCTGCCATGCGGCAACAGGCATAAGGAGTGTCAATGATCTTGGGAAAAGAAAACTAGAACTCTTTTCCGATAAAAGGCCAAGACTCTGTTCATGATTACCTCTCACACTCAAGAGCTCAACAGTTATTCATACCACACAATTATTCGTCAAAAGTCTCGCCACAGACTCATTTTAAGGAACAATGAAAAACTCAAACTATGATTTCCAGGACTGAAAAAAATATGTACGATGAATGAAAAAAAAAAATTTCCCTTTATTTGGATAAATAAAAGTATCTTATCTTATCTTTACTTTCCAGGATCGCCTTACAGTTAATTCCATTTACTGGTGTCACCAACCCTTCCTATTTACCCACTGGACCCTATCAGCTGGTCAGCAGATATCTGAAACATTTAGGTTACGTGCCTGTGCAGGTGAGCTCTTGAAATTTATTTAAGCGAAGGAGATGGCGTTGTATAACATGCACGGCTCAGAAGTAAATCGCTGAAACATTCAAGTTTATAGAAAGTTTAAATGCACCCATAACTTTGCTAGGTGGTCCTTTTTTTTTTTAAACTGCTGACTGTATCATACTATTTCCATAATATTTCAATCCATCCATCCCTGTGGCACTACAGCTCTTGTAGGGCTTTGGCCTGCCTCACCACTTCTTTCCACTCAGACCTAACTGATGCTTTTTCTTTTCCATGCTTGGATTTTCAGCTTCTGTAGATCTTTTTCCACATCATTCATCCATATAAACCTGTAAGTCTGCTTTGACTTTGAGCCATTTTCCACTGGGGTTTTGTTGGTGCACACTCTTCACTCCTCTATCATTGGGCATTCTTTCCAAGTGTTCTGCCCAACGTTGCCTGCCCTTTTTTTATTTCTGCTACTAGCGTAGGATCCTGATAGACTATACAATTCCAGGTTGGTTCATATTCTCCATCCATATTCATCCTTTGTTGGTCCATATATTTTCCAGAGAACTTAATAACATAATATTTACTTTGGATATATATTCCCAGTCGAGAGATAGCAAATGCAAGTTTGGGCTATTTCATGTTATGTTGCTTTGACCGCTATATTCAATAAAATCCTTGAATTGTCTGTATTATATTTGAGAATTATCACACATTTTATTAGGCTCAATTAAAATATTTAAAACCCTGCAAAAGGTGTCAAATAGAACATTCTGTGCATTCTTAAAATTAACCAAATATTTTTGCAAGAAATATATATTTTTTTTAATTAATTTTTTTTTTTAATAAAGATATCCCCCTACCCCAGCTATTATTTTTGTTTTGCTTTTTTGGTTGATTAATTTAGAGATCTCACTAACTTGAATGTTTTTAGGTGCTGTACTCTGATCTGAAGCCATCCCTAGGTGTACTAGAACAAATCAGCAATATTAGGAGTAGAATAAAGAAAGCTTTAGTAGATAATAATTAGACACATTTACGCGCAGGCTGGCGAGGCAGTGGTTCAAAGAAAAGAAATGAACAGATGTTAATTTCTGTGATGTCTGGAAGGCGCAAGTGAGAAAAATGTAATATTATTTTCTTGTAGAAATAAATGAATTGTTCAGTTTTATTTGGTGTTTGTTGTTTGTAACTGTTTAGTCGGAGATTTAAAATAATGTTCGACATATTTATGACATTTATCATGTCGCTTATAATTAGCTTTTTTTTTTGGTTTAGTATGAATTTAACAATTATTTTCTGGTTTCTTGGTAAAAGCACTTAAATAGCCTCTCAATATTACCTCAAGTCGAGTGCTGAACTCATTCCTATTTAGTGATACACAAAAGCCACTATTGGATGACACAGTCATTGGTTTAAAAAAGATTAAGGGTAAAAAGAGTGACTTTTCTCAGTTATATTTCACCAAAAAACTCTTGGAAAAAATTATAATAACGCAGTAAAATAAAGTTACACATTTTGAGAGTACATTTCCCAATATTCCTTGCGAGTGACATGTCCAGTGGTAGTTCTTGGTTACTGTATTAACTTTTGTTGAATCCAATCATAGTAGTCACCGACGTTACCATAGACACCTGGGGATCCAGGCCTGGCGCAGTCCACATCACCATATGACACCACACCTGCTGCTACCCACCTCTTTTTTGTTTGGTCAAAACATAAGAGAGGCCCACCGGAATCACCCTGGAGAAGAATGTATAATTGAAACCTGCAAGATTAAGATCTAAAGCAAGAGTTAGTTTTAAGACTGTAATCTAAAGTAAGGATTAGTGTCTGACTAAAATGTAAAGTTAGGGTTAGTTTTAAGATTGAAATCTAAAGTTAGGGTTAGTTTCAAGATTGAAATCTAAAGTTAGGCTTTAATTTTAAGATTGAAATCTAAAGTTAGGGTTAGTTTCAAGACTGAATTGAAAAGTTATGGTTAGTTTGGAGACTAAAATCTAACGTAAGAGTTAATGTTAAGACTTAAATCTAACATTTTGGTTTAATTCTTTTGTACAAAAATACAAGATGGATTCTTAAGAATGGGAAGTAATGGATCATTTATCTGAGGGAAATTAAACAATCCCTAAAAGTAAAGTTTTTCATATACCCCCGGTAAATCCTTTATATCCGTTTTTGTTTGCATTTATGTAATTGTACATGATTTATCATTTATTTGATTGTAACTGATTTTTAGTATGGGAATGGTTTTTATCAAACTTAACTAAGTGTATGTAAAACCTAATAGAATTTTAAAAAACAAAAAAAACAAAGTATGTCACATATACAATGCACATAGCAACAGCTAAAAAATTAATATTAATGTACATACCAAAACACACACTAATTGAACAAGTAATAGTTCATTCATCTTCCCCGTTCAAAAATAAGAAAGACAGAATTGTGGGGTAGGGCTGAAAATGTGAATGGATGTGATGTGATCTGTAATGAGACTATGTCCCAAGTTTCAGTTCAATAGGATGATGGGAAGTGGGTCTATTAGCCATCTGAAGATTTTGCCACAATAATACGAACAAAAGGGAAGTTAATATGAAGTATTTAAAAAGATTGAGCGTTTTATGATCACGAAAGTCTAAGGGCATTAATTATAGTTTCTATAGCTTCCAACTCACTAAAGTTATAGCAGGCTTTCATAAGCGTTATTATATTATTCATAGTGTTATTTTTTTTTTACTTCGGTAACTAAAATATCGCAACCTCTGAAATGCCCCCTAGGGTTGCAAGCAGGACGGATCAAGAAACCCTTAATTAAGAAGCACCCTAACGAGACGGGAAGCAGTGGGTGACATCAGTCTAATGTGTGGAGATACTGTTCCATCTTGGTTACACTTCACAAGATCTACTGTTCCATCCTGGTTACTCTTACCTCACAAGATCTACCGTTTCACACTGGTTAAACTTACCTCACAAGATCTACTGATCCACCCTGGGTACACTTACCTCACAAGATCTACTGTTCCATAGAAAAATCTATATTCCTTTCGGCTTTCCTTCACCTTACAACCTCTATATTAATATTAACCATGGTAATAGGATTTGCCAACTCACCGTACAAGAATCTATTTTTCCTTCCACTTCTCCTGCGCACAACTGTTTGGTTGGGTCACTGAGGAAAGCATTGGGGAATAGGGTAAGACAGTCAGATCCCTGATAGGTTGAGATGGAAATAGTTTGCAGGATGTCAGAACCAAATACGTCGCCAACTGATTGGAACAAATGAGGATATATGCCAAGGTTATTATTTAAAAAGAAATGAAAAACAGAAATTACAAATATAGGGCTTTCATGATTAAATTCTAAATTTATTTTAAAGCCAGTGTGAACAGAACAAGAATTTTGATACAGGTACAAACTCTTCAACACCTGATTTTCCTCGTCCAATTGGTGTTTTTTCTTTTTTTTTTTTTTTTTTTGGTTTTTATATTACCGGTGTAGATTAAAGAAATAATTTAGTAAACTCCAAGTATCTTCCAAGTTCACTGTTTACGTCATCCTACCAGTCTAACTTTACGTTGTACCATAATTTTCAGGGAACCAAGGAAATGGTATCTTGACGATGTGGGACGGGAGAAGGCCGTGCAGAGGCTTTTTGGGCCTCGAGCTAATCCAAATTTGGTATCTCACATAACATATTTCAAAGTAAATATATCAAACTGAATGTGGAAAAAAAAAATTGAGGGGGGAGGGGGAGGAAAGTTCAGGCAAGGCTGCCAACTGTCCGGATAGTTCGTAAAAATTTGACCAAAAATGACTTGCCAGTATGAATCCCAAGGAACCTAAACTCTCCGTAAGATGTTCGTAAAAATGTGACACTGAACAATTCACATGAAACGAAACAAAAGGAGAGCCCTCGAATTTTGGGTTTCTTCTTGTTTGCTTGAATCTTGTATAATCACAATGGCACGGATTCCAACACAGATACAACATATTACTAAGTATGTACATATAATATATATTTATATATATTTTTGTGTTCCTTTGTAAGGTTATCGTAAACGGTTGTTGTTGTTTTTTTGTTGCCCTTTACTACACTTGGGAACAAAAAAGTGCAAGTCTAAAGCCTAAAGCTTAGAAGATTTGTCAATTATTTATTTTTGATTTACTATCACTGGGTATTGGCGGTGGGGCGCATACAGGGCTTCCATTTTTAAATGTTTATTACCAATTATTGGGACTTATCCCGAATCCCCAGCCTGTATTCAAGTCAAGGTACGCCACTTGGTACCACGGGAGGTCTGGAAAAACGCCTCAACCTGTGCTTTTTTTGGGTATTTGAAGCGCGAAAGACTATTCATACTTTTCATATTTCTAACGAACTTGAATCGCCTTTCATTTCGTCCAACATTTCTGGAAAGCGTATGAATGGGGGAAATTATTATTTATTTTATAGCCAATGAGAGGAATACTGACTGTAATTTGTGTCACATCACATCACAAACGGTTGACAGGGCGGCATTAACCCAGCTACTGCTATATATTCGTATTAGTATTAGAGTCGTATGTCAATTTTCTAATGACGTTCCATCGTCCCGTGGTACCCAGGGACCAGCGATTTTTTTAAATTAAAAAAAAAATAATTAAAAAATAAAAATAGTGCAAGGGCAATGAATTTTTACAAGCTTGACAGCATCCCGGAATATTCAAATCTGTAAGGGTGAGTAAACAATCTCAGTATATTCAGTGTCCTAGCACTGAATAATTCCGAGTGCATGCTCCACAAACAAATAGTTCATAAAATAATAATATACTTATATACCGTAACCAATTTACAGTTTCATTATACCAAACTACATTGATTTCTTACACACAACCCCCACCCCCTTTTTTATTCCAAATTTAATAATTTTTATCTTGTTATTAGCATCAGATTAGGCCTATCATGTTAACACATACATTTGGAGTGGAATCTCTCTATTCTCTCTCTTCATCTCGTCTCTCTCGCTTCCCTCTCTTCTCTCTCTTCATCTCTTCTCCCTGGCTTCCCTCTCTTCATCTCTTCTCTCTCGCTTCTCTCTCTTCTCTCTCTCTCCCTATCTTCTCTTTCTATTCTCCCCCCTCTCTCTCCTCTTCCTCATCTCTCTAATGTATCCCCCTTATCATCTCTTCTCTCTCTCTCTCTCTCTCTCTATCTCTCTCTCTCTCTTGTCACGCTCTCCCTCTCTCATCCTCTCCCCTTTCTCTCTCCTCCCTACATCTTTCTCTCCCCTCCCTACCTCTTTCCCCCCTCTCTCCCCTCTCAATGTTCTATGCCTCTCGCCCTGTTCTCTCTATGGTCTATCCCTTCTACCTCTCTTCTCTCTTTTCCCTCTTTCCTCTCTCAATCTCTCTTTTCTCTCTTTCTCTTCTATCTCACTCCCTCTCTCTCTTCCCCCTCTCCCTTCTCTCCCATCTTTCTTCTCTCTCTATCCGTTTTCTCCCTATTCTTTCTCCCCTCTCTTTTCTCTGTTCTCACTTTCCCCCTCTTATCTCTATTCTCTCTTACTCTCTCTTCTCTCCCTCTTTCCTTCCTATTCTATCTCTCCCTATCTTCTCTCTCTCTTCATCTCTTCTCTCTCACCATATTTTCTCTCCCTCCCTCCCTCCCCCCTCTCTCATATTTCTCTATCCCTCTCTTCTCTCTCATTTTCCCCTCTCTGTTCTCTCTCATCTCTGTCTTATTTTTCTCCCCTCTCTTCTATCTTTTTTCTCGATCTCCCCTTTTCCCTCCCTCTCCCACTCTCTCTTTCTATTCTCTCTTTCCCTCTCTCTTATCTCCTTCCTCTCTTATCCCCTTCCCTCTCATCTCTCTCTCCTCCATCTCTCTCTTCCTTCTCCCTCCCCCACTTCCCCTCTCTCCCTTCCCTTCTTTCCCTTCCCATCTCTCCCTCCCCTCCCTCCCCCCTCTCTCTCTCACTCCCCCCTCTCTCTCTCCATCTCCTCCCTCCCTCCACCTATCTCCCTCCCTTCCTCTCTCTCCCTCCCTTCCTCTCTCTCCCTCCCTTCCTCTCCCTCCCTCCCTCCCTCTAACTAACCCTCTATCGCCCTCCCTCCCTCCCTCTCCCTCCCTCTAACTATCCCTCTATCTCTCTACCCCCCTGCCCCTACCGTTTCTTAAATAAATAATTATAA